TTTCAGCCAAGTTTTTTCATATAATTTTTTGATTTCCTAATTCCCATTTCACTAGTTCTTTTGATCTTATATAAATCTCCAATCATAGTAGTCAGTTTAACATTTCTGGAATATAAAATGTTTTTCTCTAGTTTAATCCTTTATACCCTTTGTGAGCCAACGTGTGTTTTTACTTGTAGTCACCTTTTTTTATATAAGGAGTATGCCTATCTTTAATATTTAAAAATTTAACTTTAAATGTTTTCCACAGTATCTTAAGTTCACAAAAGATAATTCTTGTCTTTTTTGAAAGCTGGAACCAAAACATCGTTATTCCTTATCTCAATATACAGAAAAATATTAAATTTAATTGAAGAATGATCACTTTCACCTATATGTTCCTCACTTTCCACCCTACCAACCATTTCTATATTATAAATTAACAAAAAATCTAAAATAGCTTTGATCCTAGAGTCTGTCTGACCAATTAGTGAAAATAAGCTAACCTGAAAGTTTCTAAAAAATGGCAGTGGTAGAAAAGTTATGAAAGTCTGATAAAATATGCTTTGCAAAGTCCTTTAACAATAATTGAAATTTTGTTGGATAATCAACATGATTTCATTATGGTCAAATCTTGCCTTACTAATTTTTTAAAGAGGCCACTGCTTGTATAGATGAGGATACAATTGTAGATTTGGCTTATTTGGGTCTTTGACAAGGTACCACATAAAAGACTCATTGGGTAGAAAAGTTGCTGGATGGAATAAAGCAGGGGTTGTTATAAATGGAGTCCAGTCAACTTGGATTAATATCACAAGTGGGGTACTTCTGGGCTCAGTGTTAGGACCTTTGTTCTTTTGAATTATACCAATGACATGGATGAAGGAATAATCAATAAATCACTTAAATTTACTGATGGTATTGCAGTTTTGAACGTTTCTGGCAGTGAGGATGATGATGTTGATTTACAAAAAGATTTGGGTTATTTGATGAGTTGTGTGAATAAATGGCAAATGACTTTTAATTAAAATAAATGAAAGGTAATGCATCTGAAATATCATAATTTGTATGATAAGTAGACTTTTGATGAGAATAAACTTAACAGTGATATGGAAGAAAAGGTACTTGATGTTCTTGTTGCTCAGTCTCTTAAGCCATCTAAGTGATTTGTTGCTGCTAGTGGTAGAGTAAACGGGAATTTATGTTGTATCTACAGAAATATTGAATACAAGTCTAAAGATATTACAATTTTATTTTATAGGTCGCATGGCCATGTTTAGAGTATTATGTTCAATTTTGGCTCCTTACCTTAAAATAAATATTGAATTGTTGGAAAGGATTCAGAGGAGGGCTACTACGATGATAAGTGGAATGGAAAGGTTACCATTCATACGATAACAGGTTAAGCTTTTCTGTAATTGTTTTGTCTTGAAAAAAAGAAGAGTTAAAGAGGTTCTGATTGACATGTTTAAAGATTGTTAAGGGAGTTTATAATATTAATGCATCATTTTTTTCGTACTTAATGATAATGATAAGACTAGGAGACACAAATATACATTTTGCAGGATATAAGTCATACTCAGCTTAGATAATTATATTTTTCTAATGTGTTTTTTTTTACTTTGAAATGGGTTGCCTTCAAATGAGGTTAATGCAGTTAACTTAAGGGAGTTTAAATAAAGGCTTGAAAATATGTGAATGACAATGACTGACTCTGAGTTTTTATTTTCATATTCAACTTTGGTTTAGAACATGGGATGGCCGTGGTGGACCAAGAGGTCCATTTTTGTTCTTAAATTATTTATTATAAGTGTATTTATACTTTGATAACACCTTTCTTTGCTAATGGATGTCGTGGTCTCACCAAATATATCATAGATATCATTATTTTGAACATCATGATATCCTTTGATGAGGCATGTATTGGACGTTTGGTCTTTTTATTTAGTCCTTCTCTCTATATATATGCTTGGGTAGAGCCACAGTTGGTGAAATTGACTGCATAGCTTCTATAATGGGAAGGCTTATCTCCAAAGTAGTATCACTGAAGAGACTGAAAGCTTGCTCAATGTTGGCAATTTAACATGAGGGCTTCAGACTCTAGGAAGGAGTCATGGAAGTCTTCTAGACACTATGCAAGTCAGAGGTTTCTGTTAACAGTGGCTTTTCTTCAGACCTAGGTCTACTCGCAAAGTATTGGAAACCTCAGGGTACTGCTCTGTAAAATCAAACACAATGTAATACTTCATGTTGCTAAAATCATCAGGCAAAGAGTTCTAAATCTTCTGAGAAACTTAGTTGAATGATACACAAGATAGTAGACAGTCGAAAGAACGTTAGGCCTATCACTTTTACGTTACTTAACTTCACACCAACTATATTCTCTTTGCTTCTATCTTGTCTAATACTGTCTGTCTGCTGCTTCCCGCTCGTCTCAGGCTATTTATATCTTTATTACATTGTCGTCTGGCCTCTTTTTATTTTCTCGACACCAGTTAGTTATTAACAAAACCTTCTACAATCGTCTGCTTTTAACTCTTATTATAACAAAACTTAAAAATAATAAAATATTCACTCACAAGTATGAATTAATCAATAATATTTAAACCAAACAGTCTTTTATATCATGACATAGAGTAATAGTTTTATGTCTTGTATCTAAGATCCTTCCACATAGTGGGTTTGGTTATAGCGTTACACTTACAATGGTTCAGCCTACACTATTAGCCGAATTCCTACTCTACCAAAGACTGAATTGATAGAGAATTTTCAATCCTGACTTTAGCTATATAAGATCAAATTCTTAATTTTAATATATATATAACAGTGGAAAAGGAAATAAGAAAAAATAAGTTTATTCCGTCAAAGCGAAATTCTAAAGTAACTGAATCAGACTGAGTGCACTTTGACAAAAGGAATATAGGATCTTCAGAAGAAAGAAGACCACAATCATTAGTGAATCGCACCACACTAATATTGCGATAGTATTAGAGAAAATAGTTCTGCTTGTCAACTGAGATTCTAAAGTAATTGAACAGGCCTAAGTGGTCTTTTGACAAAAAGAGGAAAATTATACATACACTGATATAACGTTTACGAGATGCTTACATTCTCTATAATGTTAATAATTTATTGTACATACGTTTAACTTCTTCCGAATATATATATTATTTGAAAACAAGTATTGTGCATGCTGTTTATTCATCGTTCACTTTATCGCTAACAAGTCATAAATACCTATTATAGAAGAATTCTAATCCCAACAACTACATAGTATATATTTATACTATTAAGAAATATAAGTAAAAGCCATTTATTTCGACAATTGGCAAAGAAAACAGAACCCATATACATATATATAATATTATTTTTCTGAATTCTGACACTCTATTCGAGTGCCAATTCCTCAGGTATACGAAGGTACATGTATGTTGTCTGAGAAAACGTTCCGCGTCCACCTTGACAAGTGCCCTGCTATGTCTCTTGCTTTATGGTTGCTTTGCGACCATTCTCATTGAGTTATCATTCATGTACAGTGAATTTTTCATCCCTTCTGTTTGTTAAAACAAATAGTGACGCAAAGTCACAAAACTGCTATTCTGGCATCCTGCACAAAGTTGAAATCAGGTTAGCCATGCACAAGTTGTTGGTCACTATCTGATAACTGTGGGTTACATCTAATACAATCACTATATTTTCATTTACTTTAGTTTCTCAAAGCAACATAACCTAATTTTATAATTAGTTTATCTATGAATTTTTAATCACATTAAAACGTTAACACACCTTGTAGCTGATCACGTTTATTTTTAGTAAATATATATGTATTATGAAACTGACACCAGCTTCCCTAGCGGTGGCGTATAAATATTATTAAGGACGTTTGTAGTTAAGCACAAAGCTACACAAAGGGCTATCTGTGCTCTGCCCACCACGGGTATCGAAACCTGGATTCTAGCGTTATAAGTCCGCAGATATACCGTTGGGCTACTGGGGGGGGGGGTATTATTAAGTTATCAAAATATTATGTAAATTTATTATCACATTTTCCAGTGTTTTCATCAGTTTGTATTTATATTATTCTTATTTTTGATCAACCCGCAAAAGAAACTGAAGACGTACGTACGTTGGTGTTCAAAACTTTATTAACAATGACAAAATTCTTGGTCATATAATATGAGAAAAAAAAGAAAAGAAAAATTATAACAGTATATATATGTCTTCACACATAAAATAACTAAATGAATTAAAGAAGTATCATCACTATAGTCGCCACCCTGTGGCACAACAGTATGTCTGCGGACTAACAAAGCTAGAAATCGGATTTCGATACCCGGGGTGGGCAGACCACAGGCAGCCTATTGTATAGCTTTGTGCTTAACTTCAAAATAAACAACAAAAAACAAATTGATGGAGTCTAACGTAATGTTTTTGTGTATTTTTTGGGTTTAAACATCTCTGAGCGCTATTCTAGCTCAAGTGTTTAAAATTAACCTCGACGTGCTGCATAGAATTAGCAATTCAGGTTTATTTTTATTTGTTGTGGGCTTGGCTTAGCTGGTGATTTTAGATTTTGAACGAAAAGCAAGTAATCGTAACAGCTGTGGTTCAAAATTGGCAATAAGCTGACTAAGAGGATAAAAAAATATTTTATCATGTATCTTAACCCTACGTTCGTACCCTGGTTTTTTATATCCCAAACATTTTGTAAACAATCTCACAAACAGACGGGACCACTGAGTCCTTTAATGATCCTGGTAGCTTTCTAAAACTGCCAATAGAGCACACAGCTAGTTTCTCCCATTTTTATCCCAGCTGAGCTGGGAGCAACACGTGATTTGTTGTGGCTTGGGGATTAAAATATCCCACGGTACTAAACCAAAGTGTGTTTTCATTTATAACACAACAAGAGTTTTAAAACTTATACATGCCAAATATGAAACAATATTTGCTTCAGTAAAGATTTTTCGAGAATATTAGACACTTATGAGGGCAATTTCTTATTTTTTATTAGATTGAAGATGAATGGAGACAGTGAAGATGAGAGAATTAGGCAGACGTTGGCTGACTGTCCCAATGATAGTGAACTTGAGGACGATAGTGAGAGTGAGTATGATCAGCTTGAAGACAGTTAGATCACAGTCAAGTTTATATCCAGTGCTTTCAGTGTCGAACAATGGTATCAGATATAGAAGATTCTGAGTAAGCAGTTAGATTAGATTAAATGTAAGGATGTTTCACTGATGTTGGCTAACAAATGATGTTTTTAGTTTAAAATAATTCATGTTTAGACCAAAAAATCTTAATTTTACTTATTTAATCATGCATTTTTTCTATATAAATAAAAATGTAAATGTTCGTTTGTTCAAAATCTTAAAGCTCCGAAAGTTCTTCGCCGATTGCTTTGAAATTTTGACCCAACGTTGTATTAGAATACGCGCGTGTTTTTATATACCTACTATTATATAAATGTCACACCTGTGACAGGTAAAAACATGCTTTTTAAAAAAACAGCGCCATCTGTTGGACGTAAAAGCAACACACGCTATACTAAATATTTTACGGTTCCATTGCAATGTTT